CAACAAAGAACCAGTTGTAATTATCACAACATTTAAACATAATAGTTGTATCTTGGTTTATTCAGGTGGAAAGAAAAATTATACACAAGTGCTAAAACCACAAGCTATTCTAGATTATAACATTGTGAAAAAAGTGTTGATTTTAGTGATCCAATGGCTTTTTACAAAAGCCCAATACCCAAAATACTGAAGTGGTACCGGAAAGTGGCAGTGGAATTAATATTTAATACCGCAGTAGTCAATTCTTAGTTGCTAAATAAAGGAAAACGCGAAAAAAGCGACAATCTATCCTTGAGTTCAGACTGGAATTCGCGAAGGCGTTTGCAAATAAAGAAATGTTGAAACCCTGACGACCAATTATACCCAAAAAATACCATCTCATTCAAAGCGATGTAGATAATAAAAAGAGAATAAAGTGTACAAGAGGTTACAAAATTTTAAGAATAAGCGTGACTAGGAGAAAGGCCGATAGAAAAATTAAAAAAGTTAAAACATACTGTGAAGAATGTGATGGCAAAACTACAATATGTCTAGTGTGCTTCAATGAAGCACATTAAAAAACAATTCTACCTATACAGCAACTATTATTGCTTTTACAGGTATGCTTTTATTGTTAATTACTGTAGTATTTGTACTATATATACTATACTGTAGTAATTATTGTTAATTGTTGTAGTATTTGTAAGAAAATGGATGTAAATAATATTATGTCTTCAACATCTAAAAAAAACTAGATGTGAACAAAAACGTAGATTGACCACTACTGGATTACAATCATTGTTAGAAGCATCTGGCGAGGATGATGTAGATTAAATGAATGGTGGAAGTGACTCTGACGAAATATTTGCACAAAGTCGTTTAGAAAAATCGAGGATTGCGTTTTGGAAAGAGACAACACAAACATAATTTAAGACTTTTCTCGGGCTTATATTCCAAATTGGGACAATTAAAACGTACCGTCTAAATGACTACTGGAAAAGTATGGGTAACTTCTATAATAGTGTTGACTTGACGAGACAATTGCTTATAGCCCATATTAAGAAATAACTGAATAGACAATACCCACTTGTCTAAGAAACTAAAAAAACGTAAAGTGGTCAGTATTTACAGTGAAGGAATATGTGTGACCAAGTGCAGAGATAAACGAGACATAATTACTATTTAAATGAGAATAAGCCACATTTAAAGGTTAAAGTATGTTTATTGACCTTTCAATTTCCAATTCAGAAATCATTCTCAAAATACAAACATATTTTCATATTTCGCAGAAAAACCCTCAATTTTGCAGTAATTTATAAATGTTAATAGCTTCGTTTTTACATAATGACATTATATATAACTAATTTTCACATAGATCATAAAGTTATTCAATTTGTTTATCCCAAAGAGTGATTATCTAAATGACTGTACTTGCTCAGACAGTCGCTCTGTATTCTCTATACACATTTGTATTCTGTAAATCGAACTCGCTTTTATAAGAGTTCATTTTTTCAACAGAAAATTTAGTAAGATAGGTCAAAATAGCACAATTCTTATTATTTGGTTGAGCTACCCTAGTAAAGAAATGAAGGTTCTACATGCTACAGAAGCCGAGATATTAAATATTTTGCAAGCATCAATTTAAAGTTCCAATCTAAAAAAAGAAGCTCAGACAGTTCTTACCTCCACTTTTCAATGAAGGTAATTTATGAATACCATTCTTTTAATGGGTCATAACTTTTTACTCCTTTACTGTATATGCCATCTATAACTTCGATCATACATCTACAATATCTTAATTCAAAATCCTTTCAATTTTTAGATCTTAGTGTTAATAAACAATGAAAATATGATTTTAAGAATTAAATGCTATCTTAGTTCTTATTGGTTAAATAAGGTTCTGTTTTTTTCTCCAGCTTTTCATTAAGATTACTTATAAGCCATTAAGAGTGCAAATTACAAAATACTTGTACATACAAGTATTGGACAAGTATTTGGACAAGTACAAAGTGAATTGCTTAATATTTAGCACACTTTAAAACCTATTATTTGCCATAATTTGAAGTAGCTATATTACCTGCCGTTGGGCAAAAATAAAGTTATTAACATTTATAAATTACTACAAACATAATATTTTAGTTTAGAGTTTTTTTGCAATTATCTCGCTCAATTATTTATATATTTTAATTTGGTATCCCTCAACATAAAAAACCATTTATTGTTTACAACTTTTATTTGAATCATTTTTCTTTAGAATGTAAAAAAAATGTTTTACAAGCAAAAAATTATTTGTTTTTCTTTTAAGATTGTTTAAAAAAAAAACAAAGCATAATCAACTGTACATCTTTACGAATTTTTCATCAGCTACCTCTCATACTATTTAGAATTTAAATAACTGTATAAAATTTACTGAGGTTCTGTGAAATACTTTCTTGTAGCATGAATAAGTTAAATATTATTTTTTTATGTGATTAAGCCACAATTATTGATCGCTATTGAGATGAAAATTAAATTTTTAATTAATGAATATTTATTGTTTATTGTACAAATTATGTAAAAATGTGTATATACATTTTGTAAAAAAAAACTTTTTTTGAGAATGATTTCCAGAGTGGAAATCAAAATGTCAAACATTAGTTAAATAAAAATGTGATTCTTATCACAATTAGAACCAATAATTAAGGCGTAACTCCGTAAAAACATAATATTTATCTCAAACTATTCACCTATAGCTTGGATTAAAGAGGTTGTAAATTGAAATTTATGTAAAATATTCCCCTACACAATTCTCTGGGAAAAATATCTATGTTAAATAAATATAACATCTAAACGAAGAAAAAATCAGTTGAAACCACAACTTCTCAGCAGGTAGTTTCAATGTAGTTATTTGAACTTGACCCAAACCGATCGATATTTATGTATCTAGATATTCTTTTAAGTATTAATATCAGCAACATCTGTTGGCTTTAAAATGATACCAAATACAGTGATTTTACCAATCGATGTTAAACTGTAGGTTTGATGAAAAAAATTAAATATATAAAAAAATCGGAATATTGAAAAACCAACAACGGTGCTAAGCCTACAGAGGTGCACTAATAGTGTATAATCACTAGTGTATGTATTGTGCCAATACATTCTATCAATACAGACAATTGTGTCAGTATCATTGTATCAACACTCAAATTTGTGGTATTACCCATGAATAATCTCAATGTTTGTGATTGCATATTTAGTCAACCAGTCCTTGGTCTCCTTACCTGCTACATGCTATATAAATGTCTTGGAGTATTGTGAGTCTTTAATGTTTGCTGATCAGCTCAAACTATTCTGGATTATTTATTATTGATGAACTTGATATCAATCTCTTACAGAAAATCTTGATAGCTTTTCAAATTTAATGGTGTTGCTAAAGATTTACATATATATTTACAAATACTGTTTGATTCAAAATAAAACTTTTGTAATCATAAATATGGAATTCGTTGTAAAAACTAATGGAGTGTTAGGTTATATGTATAAATTGACTATTAACAAATATTGGATTATCTTAAACCATTCTCTTTGGATAAAAGAACAAAGTTCAACATTTGCTTTAATTGTAAATTAATAAGTGCTATTATATCCTGTTCAGATCTATTTTCCCAAATAAATTTCTCTATTCTTCAAAGAATACTGAGACTAAATAATTTATTAACTTTGAAAATAAGGCTATTATCGAGCACAAGTTAATTAAATCTAGCCCAAGTAAAATAATTTATTATATATTGGCTCCCATTTAACCTATTATGATAAAAACTTTTTTTTAAGACTTTAGATGTTTTAAATGGGGAGGGGAGGTTGGATGTTTTTAACAATTCATTTAAGTTTATAAGGATAGTTTAAGTATTTTAGTATACTTAATATTATATTATATATTTTTTAATATTTTGTAAACAAAGTGATAACTATGTTCCTAGTATCAAAGAATATAGACACATACAGAAGGATCTTTCACTGTCAATTTTTAGTCTCAGTAGAAGTTATACACATTATAGAAAAAAGTTGAACAAGATTTTAGTTCCTTATTGTATCACTAGGGAGCTGGCATGTTGTCGCTATTACTGCTTCTAAAATATGAGTGGGGCAACAAATGCAACTTAAGATATTTTCTTATATGGATGTTGTGTGGTCGTAGAACGCTTAGCATTAATTTTTTGTATTTTATAAAACTAGATATCAGATTCTAATCATGCAACATATTTTTTTAAGAACAAAAAGCAATATTTTAACTTTTAATAACTCAATCTTTTTAGAAAAAAATATTGTAATTCAAATTTTTAATTTAAATATGTACAAATCTAAAAATAATATCATTAAAACTCTCTTCTTATAAACTATAAATAAACTATTTAAAAAGTCAGTCACTGGCGGAGAAAGCACAAAAAATTCTAAGGTGTTTCAATCAAAAAACAATTCCTGATCTTTTTAGTACGTTACATACCTGCATACACCAAAGAATTATGTTTTTCAAGAGAATACCATCACCTCCTTCGCAATAGAGTTGCTAAGAAACCAAGGGGCTCTAAAGAGCAGACTAGGTCATAAAGCAACATGACAAAAGTATTCAGCATGGTGGTAGCACACAGATATATAAAATTTAAATTTGAACTAAACAATTATTACTTTTTGATAACTACTTTAAGACCAATCAGATTTGAATCATTTTGATTTCTTATTGTATATTTTGAATAAATGGAAAAAACCTTTCTGTAAAACTTAATCAAATTTTGTAACTAAAAATATGTAATTTAAACTCTGTAAAAACATTGTTACTGTAGTACTCATAAAACCAACATAGCTATGGCTCTTGGTTTAATAATGTGTATTTAAATTAAATTTATTTAAATATCAAAAAGCAAAGAGGATAATATATGATAAATTTAGGGAATATGCAATCAAATTGTGACTATTTGGTACAACTATATATTAATCATACCTACATTTCTAGTTTTAGGATGTGAAAAAATATTGCACAATACCTCATGTCCAGACAGTATCACTTTACATTTCTGCCATAAAGGATCATTGGAAATTTTATCAACTACAAAATATTTCAATTGTTCTTGCAGACGAGCCATAAAAACAGTACCAGGTGTAATACAATTAGAATCAAATCTTTCTTCTGCTGGTAAAGATTCTCCTTTCTTTAGTGCCTCTGCTTCAGCTTTAGCTGCATCAGCAGCAGATCTAAATCTTCTACCTCTTTGCTGATTCATTTTAGCACGAGGGGCTACACCATCCACTGCCATAACAAACACCTTTTGCGGTTTTATCATTCGAAACAGAACTTCAATATAATGGAAGATGTCTTTAAATATTTTCTCTTCTGTAATTCGGAAGTGGGGATCTTCATCATTAGGATGTGAACAATTGTGAATTATACCGTTCATATCCAAATATAAATTATCAAATTCGGGAATCTGAAAAAAATTTAAAAGTTTTATAAAGTATTTTTAGCCTAATTATTTGTGTACCTGATAATCTTTTACCAATTCACTTAAACATGGATATCTTTCACTTATGTATCGAAAAAATTTTGGAACACCCATTTTAAACAAGTTTTGTTAACCAATGTTTTATATTATTTTCTTTTATCCAGTGAAGTCGAAGTGAAATTTATATTTTTTATTTTTTTCCAATAAGCTTAACTGCTGCCAACTACCAGTTTAAATAACTAATGTCAACAATGTCAACTGTCAACATTGTCAATCTGTCATGGTCAAGTCTTCTTCTTCTTCTTCCTTTATTGGGTAATATTCATGGTCAAGTCAAATGTAAATTGCTGTTCATTTTAATCTTCTCTCTTCTAATTTTATTTTATGGTCAAGTCAAATGTAAATTGCTGTTCATTTTAATCTTCTCTCTTCTAATTTTATTTTTAAATCAGCAGGTCAGTCGATTTTGCAGTCAAATTTTTGCTTTGACACTTTGTTAACCCTCGGAGCGAATTATTTTTTACTTTAGGCTTAAACCACAATTGTTTGTAATGAGAATTATAGTAGTAATTGTATATTAACCTACATTTATTTTGATGTTTCGATTTCCATTGCGGAAATTGTTTTAAAAAAAATCTAAAATAAACCACTAAAACTATAAAACCATGAATCACTTATAAAAACAACTGGTATGTTGTAGTATGTAGTCATGTGTAGTCAACAAGTTTCATTTTGACAGTGACAATAAGGCAAATTGAGGTTAGTTTAGTATAGTGATAGTGAAGGTTGTAGGGTATTCTATGTTTTTTTTCATAATATTGTTAAATAAAATACATAAAATTAGGTTAAACTAATTTATTAAAATGGTATGTTTTTTTATACACTTGTTTATGTAATGTGTTATATATTTACTCTGATTGGGGTAGTTTATTTCAGCTTTTCCTTTTATTAGGATTTTGCTCAAAATCCCAATACATAGTTTTAAACTATGTATTATAAACTAAACAGTATTACATAGTTTTTATTGGATTTGAAGAACTAATTAATTATATGTTATTGTAGTTTGTCTTTCTATATATTACACTGTAAAACTTGAAAAATACTTAGTTGTATAAAATGATAAGTGTTAAATAACTTAACTTAAACTTTATGATACTGAAGACTTACATAACCCTTGCTTCTTTTTTGTCCTCAGGTTGTCCCCTTCAGTGGTCGCTTTTTCTTACTCTTCTTCGCTGCTCATTTCTGTCATTCGTCTCTTCTTCACCACCTAAACCTTTCCATCTCAAGTCCTCTTACCACACAGTCATTCCGTCTTCTCATTAATTATATGTAATTATATATATATATATATATATATATATATATATATATAATATATATATATATATATATATATATATACAGGGTGGTCCTTAAGTAATTGTACAAAAAGAAACCGAAGATTCTACACTTTAAAATATTACGATTTAAGTCAAGTTCCTTTAATAAAATGTTGATATTAAGAAAGATACAGGGTGTTAAAGTGGAAATTTAAAATTTTATTTTTCGCTATAACTTTTATGTTTGTCCACATTTATGTATAAAAATTTACAACTGGGTACTATTAAATATCAGAAATTATAATTTGATGTATACTTTGATGTAGCTGATAGAGGGCGCCACATATGTGGCATACATTTTCACGTAACTTTTTTGCTCTTTAAGTTACCGATAGTTTGAATAAAAAATATTAAAGATACGTTATTTCAACAAAAAAAAGGTATACTTGTTAATACCTTCAAAACTCAACAGTTTTCGAGATAATCGCAATTTAGAAATCAGCGACATAATTCTGAATTATCGCAATTACTCCAGGCAACGAAAGAAAATTAAAGAAAAACATCAATACTTCTGAATTTTGGTATAAAATACCTTTAATAAAGTTAATAGTTAATGAATTATTAAATAAAATAAATATATCAGCAGAATAAAATAATAGGATTTGATAAATAACAGAATAATTGGATTTTACATCAAACATTTTACGTTTTGTATTAAATTAAAGTCATAATCAAAACATTTTATTTACAAACCAAATTAAGAAATAGTTAAAGTAAATAAAATTAAACTTTTTGTCAAAGTAAGTGTTCACTATGTCCATCATTTTCTTTAATTCATTTGTCAATACATTCTATAAAATATCGTCTCATATTAAATAGCATCATTGGTTCTGAAGAAACTGCTGCAGTATTTATTATAAGTGTTATAAGTATAATAATAAATAATTTTTTGAAATGTTTATGAATTAAATAATTATATTAATATCTCATCACAGGAATATGACCACCATGAACAATCCAACATTCAGGAAAGTTGTATTTAAATACTGTCTCACTCCGCTTTCTCTGTAATGTAATTGTTTACCATCTTGTAGAAACCACATATTTCGTCTTAAATTTGATGACAATTCTTTCAATATATCAATAAAACCATTTTATAAAAAATGTAAATAAATCTCTTTATTTAAATTGCAAGATAATTTGCATATCGGTAAAAAATAATTATCAATGGTTCCAAACCATAGGACATGCATTTTAAATATCAATTTTGAATGATGTTTTACGAATATGCGAATTACCTTTCAATTTGAATGGTGAAATTTATTTACATTCTTTACATTACAGAGAAAGCGGAGTGAGACAGTATTTAAATACAACTTTCCTGAACATTGGTTTGTTCATGTTAGTCATATTCTTGTGGTGAGATATTAATATAATTATTTAATTCATAAACATTTCAAAAAATTACTTATTATTATACTTATAACACTTAAAATAAATACTGCAGCAGTTTCTTTGGAACCAATGACGCTATTTAATATGAGACGATATTTTATGGAATGTATTGACAAACGAATTATAGAAAATGGTGGACATAGTGAACACTTACTTTGACAAAAAATTTAATGTTATTTAGTTTAACTATTTCTTAATTTAGTTTGTAAATAAAATGTTTTGATTATGATTTTAATTTAATACAAATTAAAATAAAATATTTGATGCAAAATCCAATTATTCTGTTATTTTATCAAATCCTATTATTAATTAACCTGCTGATATATTTCTTTTATTTAATATTTCGTTAATTATTGACTTTATTAAGGTGTTTTATAACAAAATTCAGAAGTATTGATGTTTTTATCTATTTTTCTTTCATTGCCCGGAGTAATTGCGTTAAATCAGAATTATGCAGTTGATTTGTAAAATGCGATAATCTCGAAAACTATTGAGTTTTGAAGTTATTAACAAGTATGCCTTTTTTTTTTTGTTAAAATAATGTATCTTTAATATTTTTTATTTTAAATACCGGTAACTTAAAGAACAAAAAAGTTAAGTGCAAATTTATGCCACATATGTGGCATATGTGGCGCCCTCTGTTAGCTATATCAAAGTATTCATCAAATTATAATTCCAGATATTAAATAATACCCAGCTGTAAATTTTTGTATATAAATTTTTCCAAACATGAAATTTATAGCGAAAAATAAAATTTTAAATTTCCACTTTAACACTCTGTATCTTTTTTAATATCAACATTTTATTAAATTGGCTTAAATCGTAATATTTTAAAGTGTAGAATCTGCGGTTTCTTTTTGTACAATTAACTAAGGACCACCCTTATATATATATATATATATATATATATATATATATATATAATATATATATATATATATATATATATATATATATATATATATATATATATATATATATAAATATATATATTGTAATGCAGGATCACAGCAGACACTATACATTTAACTTAAGTATGTCCTCGGCATAACCAGCTTACTGAAATATTCTAGGACCAGTGCCTGCTGTAGATTGACACCTTGACAATTCTAGCAGACACTGGCATCCTCTGTTCTACGAAACCTATTAAGAAGTCTTCCTTTCTGAAATATTGCTGAATTTGTTTTCCCAAAAGTTTTTTCTGGAAGGATTCTGGTTTAATGACATTCTGGCTAAAAGATGCAAACTTATTAATGAGGAACAAATAAGAGTTTACTTTGGTCTAATACTTATCATCAAATTAACATTAAATTGGATAAATGAAGTTTTTTTTTTAAATTGTATTATAAACGCACATCACTTTTCTCATGTTTGTAATTTTAGCATGGAAGATTAAAAGTTCGTACATCAGAAGAGCAAAAAGCTCTTAAACAGAAAGAACAACAGAAGAAACTAGTTGCATATCATTTGGGAATGAACAAAATTTTATCTACTAGAAACAAAGACAGTTATGAGCCTGAAAGTCTTCAGATTAGTTCACAAATTTTAATAGCTAATCCAGATGTGTACACTTTATGGAATTATAGGAAGGAAATAATTTTAATGGAAATTAAGAAAAGGTACATACAAAAATTATTTTTATTTAAAAACAAATTTTTTTTTGGATATCATACTTAACATCAACAGCACAGGAAGCAAGATGGTTATAAAGCTATTTTCTTGTGTCATTTTTATTTTGTTTACAATATTTAGTGGGAATCAACCACAATTCTACTTGAAAATACATTTATTTTCAACTTCAAAGTAGAAATCAAAATAGCAAAATAAAGGTATTTTCAAATTAAATTGTAGTTAATTCCCATTAACTCTTAAACAGGCAGAGAAAGGCTTAGACCATAAAAACTGATAGACGCGCCGTAATGCTATTCTCTCGTCTCGAGGAGTGAAGCCAACATAAAACGATTCACACAGCTGTGGGTGACGTCAGTTTTAGGTAGAAACGGTAGAGAGTAGTAGTGTTTATACGCGTTGTAAACGTTTTAAAGTGTTTAAATTTAAAAATTTTCCAATACATTAATATTATAATTATGGTGGTATCTTGCAGTGCATTTAATTGTACGCAGCGACACAAAACAGGGACAGATATATCATTTCACGGGTAAGTAAATTAACAAATTAAACTTGAAAAACATACCAGAAATTTAGCATCTATTATTTTACTTTTTGCTCCCAAAGTGTTTAAAATAGATACATATGAGAGAGAGAGAGTCTTATATACAATTTTCATTTTATAATTAGATTGAAAACTAAAGTATTAAGTAAATAAATTGTTTTAGATTTCCTAAAGATTCATCATTGCAAAAAAAATGGATTATAGCGATGCGCCGTGAAAATTTTAAACCAACAAAGAGTTCTAAAATTTGCTCCAAACATTTCACAGCGGATTCGTATATTACTAGCGGTTGGAGTTAAAAAAAAACAACTAAAAAAAGATGCTGTACCTAGCATTTTCGATTTTCCAAACCATTTAATTAAGCAAGTTACAACTAGAAAATTTACAAAAAAAAAGAGAAACTGTTTCAGTCAAACCAACAGGATCTAAAAGGGAAAATATAAATATAACGAGTGAATCTACCACCATAAAGACTCCAGTAGAAATTTCAGACGAAACTACCTTAGAACCTCCCTTGAAAAAGCGAAGACATTATCTTGGTGACTTTGAACAAGGATCATCTAACACAGACCAGGGATATAAAGTAGTAGTAAACAAATTAATTCAAAAGAAAAACAAACAAATCAAAATGTTGCAACAACGAAATAGAAGGCTTATTAAAAAAGTAAATACCTTAAAATCTTTATTAGAACATCTTAAAGAAAAACAAATGATCGATGAAGATTCCTCTCTGAAACTTTCGGTAAGGAAAATTAATAATACTTCTTATTAGTGATCTATTTAGCTTTGGCATGTATAACAGTTTATTTTATATTGTTTGTAGTTAGTCGATCAAGTTTTGATTATTGCTTTTTATTTTATTAGGATACGATGCATGCTTCTGCAAAAACTATCTTTAAGCAGCTACTTAAATCTAAGAGCACTAAAACATATCCACCGGAGTTAAAAAGCTTTGCTCTCACTCTTAATTTCTATTCACCAAAAGCTTACTTGTATGTCAGAAAAACTTTTCCTAACATGTTACCTCATCCACGAACTCTTCAAAAGTGGTATCAAGTAGTAGCTTGTGAGCCTGGATTTCAAAAAGAAGCAGTGAATGTATTAAAACAAAAAGTAGTTGAACTTAGAAATAAAGGAAAATCATGTATTTGTGCTTTGATGGTCGATGAAATGTCTATACACCAGAAAATAGAATGGGATGGTGAAAAGTTTTTAGGGTAAGTGTAGCTTAATATTTATTAGCAATTAAAAAAAGTATCATAACAATATATTTTCTATTTAAATAATTGAAAACATTAATTTTAGGTATGTTGACATAGGAAGTAAACCTCAAAGCGATTCTTCCGAAATTAAAGCAAAAGAAGCAATTGTATTCTTAATTAATAGTTTAAATGATTCATGGAAGCTGCCGATAGGCTACTTTTTAATCGCTGGGTTATCAGGTGTTCAAAAAAGTAATCTAATAAAAATGTGCTTAAAAATAATGCACGAAGCTGATGTCACAATTACCAGTCTAACATTTGATGGTGCAGCATCAAATATTAGCATGGTTAAACAACTTGGAGTTGATTTATCGATTAATTCCAATAAAGTATATTTTCTACATCCAGCAACAAATCAACCAATATATGTAATGTTTGACCCTCCACATATGTTGAAACTTATTCGCAATACTTTAGGTTATTACAAAATTTTTTTTGACGGGAATAATAAAGCGATTAAATGGGAATATTTGCAAAAATTAGTAGACATTCAAGAGAAGGAAGGCCTTCATCTTGCAACTAGGATAACGCGAAGGCATTTAATTGGTATAAGGAAAAAATGAAAGTGAAATTAGCTGCCCAAACGTTCAGCCAAAAAGTTGCTAAGGCAATACATTATTTGAGAAATAAAAGCTCAAAAGAATTTGTACATAGCGAAGCTACTCAAAATTTCATTGAACATATCAATGATATTTTTGATATTTTAAATAGCCGAAATTTATTGGCAAAACACCTAAAATCTAGTTTACAGCATCATAATAAACAAGCGATTTTTCAAAAAACTGAAGAATCTATAAAATATCTTAGTTCACTTAAGTGTTCCAAAAATGGTGAACCCCTATATCTAAGCCAAAGAAAGACGGGTTTTATTGGTATGATCATTAGTTTAAAATCACTAATGGGAATTTGGAAAAATTACGTGGAGGATATGGATGGAGGTCTAAAGTATCTTTCGGCCTATAAACTTTCTCAAGATCACTTAGAAGTTTTCTTTAGTTCTATTAGGAGTCATGGAGGTTACAACAACAACCCAACGGCAAAACAATTTAAAGCTGCATATAAAAGACTGTTAATGCACACAAGTGTTACAGGATCTACCCAGGCTAATTGTATAGAACAGGCACCTTCCATAATATTAGCAATGAGCACAACAAATACTGTGAAAATGAAAACTGTTGATCATCAACTCATTGACAACTTTATACCCGATGAAAATAATATTGATACAATAACTAGTAACCAGGATCGGGATTATACTGTAAATAATTTAAGTTTTTCAAGAACGTTATCATCTTATGTTTGTGATGTTGTTGACTATATCGCTGGGTTTGTCGTTAAGAAAGTTAAGAAAACATTAGATTGTGACATATGTTTGTGTGCAATTGAATGTGATAATTTACAATCACCATTCATAAGACACAAAAATTATAGCATATCAAAAGATTTTTTAATTCAACCTTCTAAAGACGTCATTCATATTTGCAAAATTGCTGAAAGCGAAATTAAATTTATGTACAATTCAAAAAAATTAAACGATTCCAAAATAATGACAAAATTGATCTTAAATGTCATGAGTAACGTGCATGGTTCTGTGTTTAACGCATACAAAGAACATATGTTTGATCATGAATTTGAAACAAATCATTTGTTTAATCTAATAAAGATAATTTGTTTCCATTATTGCAACATTAGATTGTACCACGAAGGTGAAAAACTAAATAATGTAATAAGAGTTAGAAGTAAGTTAACAAAAGCTATTTTGTTTTGTGGTCAATAAATTAATAGATTTCCTACATATTTTTTTACCTAACCTGAAACTTCCACCCAAAAGAAAATTATTCTCCTTTAAATTTATTTCTGAATATCAAACAAGAAGTGAGATACCAACGATATATATAATAATAAATGTAGGTATGTATTTTCAAATAAAACATTTATTTTTACAATTTAAGGCAAAAATATTTATTAATTACTTTGCTAAATAATTTATCTTCCATATTTTTTACAAAATATTGAAGATATATTAAAATTAATCTAAAATTGGGTAATTATACTAGTGCTTTGCTAAGAATACAAGCGGGCTCTTGCCTAATTGTGACGTCACTTTCGCAGAAGGTCTTTGCTTCAACGGTTCGGTACAAGGCGTGTCTATCAGTTTTTATGGTCTAAGGAGAAAGGAATATAACTCCATTCCTTAATAGAATAAAAATAAATTACAATGCATATCTCTTATAAATTTATTTAGAAACACAAGAAAAACATTTTTAGAAGAATAGTTTTCTTATAGCAAGTAAAGACAGCAGTGGATAGTCGGAGGTGTGAAAAAAATAAACTGACAGTAACAACTGCAGACATATCGCACAACTACACATTTCGCTCCTCCACACCCTATAGTAGTAATATGCAGTGCCATATGTGTTTATTGATAAAGTAAAATACTTAAAATAAAATAAAATAAATATAAAATAAAAAAAATATATAAAAATAAGTTTGTTTTTACATATTTTATAAAATAAAATACAATCCAATCGAATTGATTATCCAATTGAATCATGTAGATTATCGAATCAAATAGAACCAAATATCAAATTAAGTCAAATATCAAATTGAATGGGTTAATTAATCGAATTGGAATCAATTTCAAATTAAATTGAATCAAATATAAAATGATATTGATTATCTGATTGAATCAATTATCGAATCAGGTATAGGTTACAAAGAATAACCAAGGCTTATTCAACCTATAACTTAAAAGGTAAACATTTATTTATTAGCTGTCTGATATAGACTGGGGATTTGTTTCTGACACTTTTATATATTTTAAGTTCAATAAGTTCATGGACATTCATGAGAGATAAAACCTCGAACCTCGAAGATTGTCATTAGCAATTGCTCCCAAAAAACTGTTGTCTTACAAGTAAATATTAACAATTAGTTTATAAATTTATATCAAGATATGAATAATTAGTAGATAAAGGTCATCTTGTGTCGGTCATAGCTTTCGTGGAGGAGGAGCTCTGAACTGAGTAGGGGTTCTTCTGTACTTCACGGAAGACAGACTGGGCGGGGGATGTCCTCAACCTCGACACGGCACGTCCCATATGGCTGATAGGGAAAGTTCCTGCAGATATGCAAGACAGGTACGAATAAGGCATTGCCAAATAAGTACCCGCGGATCAACTGA